TATTTGTTGAGGCTGCAATTTTTTTTTTTTACTTTCTACAATCCCTCTTCAATTTACTATTTTTTTTTTTTAATTATATCTATATCTATTCTTAATCCCTAATGTTTGAATATAGTCTAGATTTATTTATTTTTATCTAGTTTTAAGGAAAATGGTAGGTATTTTATTATTGGAGGAAAATAGCTAAGTATAAATGTAATGGTGTCGGTAATTGAATGTTGTAAACATAAGCGCAACTAGGAAGAGTGGCTGGTGGTCATTAAATTATTTAATTTTTGTTTAAAGTTAAAAAATATTTTATATTGCCTATGATAAATATGCTAAATAGTAAATATTACCTATTAGCTGTATGCCTGTATTTGTTTTAAAGAAACTATAGAAACTATTTATGTCGGTATCTTGGTAAGATTATAGTATATAAATTAGTAGTATACGAGTATACCTATATGCACTGAAGACTTGACTATAATATACACTGTATACAGACTGAATTGTGGAGTAAAAATCCCCGACGAACAATCCCGGGAAACAATATTACTCTAGACTACAATACAACCACATGACATTGATTGATAAAATATTTTTAAAGAGCAAATAGGTGTAATTGCCACATTATTCATATTTAGTTACAAATATATACTTATCACTAAAAAAAAAAATTAATATGCAATAAATAATTTTCAAATATTAACAATAATTTTATTTGGTTTTATATCACGATTTGAAACAACATAGAATTATGTTAATGCTTCTTTCAAAAGAATAGACACCTACATTCATTAACAATTGGTTGATAACAGTAATTATTATTTGTGTTATTTCACGTATCGATCATTCAAAATATTTTTATTTTAGATTCTGAGCGGAGCAAGGAAGCTAGTGGTTTTACAATGGTGTTTATTTTTTTTTTTTTATTATTTTTTTTTTTATATCCTGTATACAAAATTTCTACCAGAAGGAGTGCTTTGATTTCAACATATAGTACCTTATCTTTTAGCAAATTGGACCAATATGGTACTTTAGAGAGGTCATTTTTCGATTTTCTCAATAGTTATTTAATGCCACGGGCAAAAGTACTGAAAAATTACGAAAAACCGCTTAAAATGGGATTTTAATTTCTAACAATTTGTTTATCACCGTAGCAACGAATAAAAAAAAATAATAATTAAATAAATAAAATAATTAATGACAATATAAAATATACAGACTGACAAACCGTCTCCGTTCAGAATCGTTTTTCTTATACAATGATATTATATCATTGAATTCAAGTTTAATACAATCCATTAAACAATGACCAACTTGTAACCTACTGTACAGCTGAGCGACATCCACTTACCTGCCTTTTTTTTTTATATTATAATCTATTAAATATTGTATCTATACATACCCAAGTAAAACTTGTAAAAACGACTCCCAATAATAATCATAACAACAATTATTATGAATATTTTCATTACCGTCAAAATATTAAGTAGGAAATGTAATATTTTATATGGGGGATTGAGACCGGGGCTATACACGGCGTATTCAGAATACAGAATACAGAATTATAGATACACAGGGCTCGAAATGGACCGGAACGCAGTTCCGGTTCACGACAACAAATTGTTTAGCCTTCCGGTTCGTAAAAAAAATACGTTTATCGTTCCGGTTCAAACAAATTTTTACTATAAGTACCTACCATATTTTTGTAAAATGTAAACATTTTGCAGAATTGTGAATAATTGTAAAATATTTAATAAACGACAAACGACCTCGACGGCGACGCATTAGTAAAAATATTCCTTAATATCTTTAGGTAATCGTCGTCCGCCGATAGTGTAGTTTGTCTATATTCACACGATACGTACCTATGTGTATTTTTAACTTGCGATAAGAAATCCTATGGAACGGTGCATAAGACGTTTTGACATCCCTACCATTGATACTCGTAAGTTTTGATTAGCGTTTAGAATCGTTTAAGCTGCAGTAATACATGTATTATATTTTGCCGATCATTAATTACATTAGTTTATAGCGTGTATTATTCCGTGCGAAAAATATGAGTTCTTCTTTACTGAATTGGGTAAATAAACGTTCTAAGTCCAATGATGAATGTGGTAATTCGTCAAATAAAAAACTGTGCGTTGAAAGTGAACATATATTATCCAATAAAGAATCAAATGAAAATACGGAACTTCACAAAACTTGGCGAAGTTTGTGGTATAAACCATTATTATTTATCCATAAAATATTTATGGATAAACTTTATACTTTATTCCACCAGTCACTTAAAAACCTAAACGAGTTAAAAAAAAGCTGCTAGTTCATTAGAAGAACAAATTTTGAAAATTGGTAGAATTTTGTCAGTTCGATGGGTAGCATCAAGCAGACGGACAGTCAATGCAGTCATAAATAATTTGTTTGCTTTGTGTGAACATTTCAACTTGGCTTCAATGAACTCTACCAGAGACTCTAAAGAAAGAAGTAAATACTGTGGATTGTTTAAAATGATAACAAGTATAGAATTTGTTAGTAATTTAAATACCATGTCTGATGCTTTAGACAAATTAGGAGATTTATCATAATATTTACAAAAACGTAGTAGGTATTACTTTAGTAGACGCTGATAAATCTATAAGAATAACAATACGTGTATTAGATTCTATGGCAACCAATCCGGGTCCAAAATTAACTGACGCATTAAAATAAATAAAGAACAAAATGTCGTATAAAAATGTAATATTACACAGTGGCAATGTTCCTAAAATAAATTCTGCACAATTTTTCAAAAGCCTATTTCTAATTCTTATATTTTGTAATTGTCAACAAATTGTTCAATTATATCGTCACTACTGATATAAAAAACACTATTACTTATGATATTTAAAATTGTTAAAATTATTTAACTTTATAGGTATTCTATTACATTTAACTTTTATATTTTTAAAATTATCTGTTCGTTAACTTTTGTCATAGGTCAAAAAAAGATAACATTTTTTTTTTTTATATTTTTAAAATATAACACGTACCGCATCATATATGTATATACTAAAAGTAGGATAGTTGTTATGAACGCCACTGCGTATGCCTGTGGTGTTCTGTTATATTTTATATTGTGTCTCTGGTTGTATCCGAAGACGGCAATTTGTTGAAACCGTTCTCTGTGTAGCGGGTGATAATCAAATGTTGTTTAATAGTTTGTTAATAGGTTGTTAAAAGAATACACGTTTTAGATTTATATGAGAATATTATACTTTATTAGTTTTAAAAAATATGATTTATACTACAAGCTCACTACTTAGCTCGAATGAGTCGAGTTCAAGACTGAATTTCCGACAGGACCGATACTATAGTCTTGTCGTGGATAAGCAAAATATCTAAGATAAGACGCCTACATACAGGCTTTATTATATTCTGTAAAACAAGCGTCTCTATAGTCTCTATAGTGGTGGGCATATAACACCCCCCGGGTTAGACGGAAGATCATTATCCTACTTTTAAACAATTATTTTGGGTAATGATTTTCCTTTTCTTATTTTAAGTTCATCTTGGTTTTGTTTATTTTGTTCCGTCAAACTCGGTTGGTTTACATTGACATTTTTAATTTTCTTAAAATTAAATATTTTTTTTTTGTGATAATTTACAGAATAATTATTAGTAAACAACATAGTATTATTAAACCAATAACATAATAGTTTATATAAATTGAAGATTGCTTATAATCTAAATTATCTTTTGGGATAGTGACTTCATTATCATCTTTATACTTTGAAAGTACTACTTCTGGGGATACATATTCTTTTATTGTGTTAACATTATGTATATATTTAGTTAAATTCATAGTTGGTATGAAGTCTGATTTTAATTCTGAATAAATTGTTCTAAACCCCCTGAAATTGCGGAACATTGTTCGCTTAGTGATAATATTCCTGATCCAGTTAATACTTCTGTTATTGAATCTTTATTGAAACACGTTAAAATTAAATTTTGGTTTGTTACCGTGAAAATCCATGAGTTTGAAGACATAAGTTTATGAAAAATCCCATGTTTAAATGAAGTGTATTTTATTTTACAAAAATCTGCTAATTCTGTTATATCTGAGTAAGAAATTAAATTTATTTCACATTCGTTCGATGTCACTACCCTTTTGGCTAAAAAGTTTTTACAAATTTTAAAACGGTTTGTATCAGTACACAAACTAACATCGTTTTCGCTTAAGTTAATAAAATATTCCTGATCAATAGTTATGGCTATAAACTTAAACCTAGGTTGTATAATATAAATCTATTATTTTCTAAATAAACTGGGTTTGGTAGAACATTATATAGTTTATACATGTTACTTAATGTCTTAATACTAAAGGAATCGTATTGATGAATATAATTAAATCATTACTTTTAACGATTGTAGTTTGCATTATTCTATACAGTTCAGACATACCAGATACATCTAATTTTACAGGAATGTTTAAGTCAGGTGAAAGATTTAATTTTATCAATTTAATTTAATCTAATAATTGATTTGATGATATTACTAAAGGGTGTAACTTCCCATACATAGCCGAATGTAAGATTTGAATAATTTTTCCTATTTCTAAAGCTTATATTGGTTATATATTAATTTTAGATTTAAAATTTGATTTTCCAACATAATTTTGATATTTTCATCACTAAACTCTTCTCGTTCTGATAAAATAAATCAGCGAATTTGTCTTATGTTATTTTGTATTTCCGTCGTTATGTCTATACTTGGTTTATTGATCATTATTGCATCATTAGTATTCGCAGGAGTAATTATTAATTTACTTTCTGCTAAATTTTGAGATTTCTGTCCATTTTTAGCATTGTTCTGATATTTGAGTATAATTTATAAACATCGTCTATTTTTATAGACCCGAACAGAGAATATACTATATATCATTTCTTATATACAGTTGGCTACATCACGTTTATGTTTTGAATGATCCTGTTCTTCAACTATTTGGAGTAATTTGTTTGTCTCAAATTCAAATTTGGTCAAAATTTTTCTGATGTCTTAAACAACGAACAAATTTCAGAAATATAAAATTTCTTTTTTAAGCATAAGAAACTGCATTCATTTGAAAAACTTTCGGTCGCTTCATTGTAAAGTCCTAGAGTTTCAATCTGAAAATTGTTGATTTGTAAATAATGTGCCTGATAAATGGACACATTTAAATATATTGCTATCTCCCAATTTGCAGCTGTTGTATGCATGTCGGAGATGTAGTCGAAGTAGATTCCTGGTGATTCTTTTGCATACGAGATGTTGTACAAAGGTTCTGTTTTAATAAGAGATCCCATCATACATATTATCCTGAAACACTATTGTGTATTATTTGACTACAAGTTGATATGTGAAATATATTATATTATTATTATCTTTATTTTTTTTTTTATAATTTTAATATTTATTTATTATTTTTCTTTTCTTTTTTTTTACACTTAAATTTAATAAAACAAAATTATATTATATTATCTCTTTTTTTTATGGAACACACAGTTTAAGTTCGTTTATGTGTATTTTCACTTCTCTTCGTTCTTTTTGTATTATGACATTTTCATTGTCTTCTAATTGAGTAACCAAATACGGTCCAAGCCATTTAGGACTTAATTTGCCTTTCGGTTGGTGATTTTTTATCCAAACTCGATCTCCTACATTGAAGTTAATTTCATGTCGATTTTGATCATATGTTTCTTTGGATTTTTCTTTACTTAATAATATGTTTTCTCGAGCTTGTTTGTGTGACTCTTGAAGTTTTTGTTTCAACTCGAAGACATAATCATTGTAGTTGTATCTAGGTTGAGGAGTTCTGCTTAATGTATGTGGTATTGAAGCAGGGAATCCATATATTAATTCGTATGGTTGGTGTTTGGTTGTTGTATGTACTGTAGTGTTGTATACAAACATTGCATAGTCCTCACAGTCATCAAGATGTTTATCGACATAATGTCGAAGATAAGCGGCTAACGTTTGATGTGACCTTTCAAGTCCACCATTAGATTGAAGACGATATGGTGTCGTGTGCAGTTTCTCTATTTGAAATAGCTTACAACAGGCAGCAAATATTTGACCCATGAATTCTGTTACACAATCTGTTAAGATTGACTCCGGTATTCCATGTTGGCATACAAACCCTTCAACGAATGCTTTCGATACCGAATTTGCATCATGAGATACTAACGGATATGCAGCAGAAAACTTCGTTAAATCGTCTTGTAGTGTCAATATATAATTATTTCCTTTTTTAGACTTGGTAATTGGTCCAACAATATCTAGGAATATACGTTCAAATGGTTTGGAAGATGTAGTTGTTATAACCATGGGTTGTTTGACGGTTTTATTAAGGGTTTTATTTCGCTGGCATGATTGACATGACGATATAAAATTTTGTACATCTTTTTTCAATCCTTTCCATGTATGTTGTTGTTTAATTCTTTTGATTGTTCTGGAAATTCCTTGATGACCTCCAAGTGGTGAATTGTGAAATTCTTCGATAATCTTATATTTATCATCTTCTGTATATGTGTCATCAATGAACACTAGTATTTTGGTTTCAGAGTCTTTAAAATGGAATCGAATCATTGTGCGTATTTCAGACCAATCTAATTGATCTATTCCACAAGATATTTTTGGTAAAGCCAGTTTTTTTATTTTATTTGAATCGCAGAAAGTTTGTAAATTTTTTAAAGTTAAAAACATTTTTTAATTCGAAGGTTTCTGTCAATGTTTTTCTTTTGTAATTAGGTAAAGAATAGTTTTTCCATTTACTTGTAACGAAGCTATTTCTGTTACCAGTTTATTTTGATTTTTTAGCTGTTTAATTTGACCTTATTTTCTTCTAAATTCGAGACCTATCCCTTTTTTCATACAAAAATCTTGAGAAACACAATGTCCTAATGCATATTCATCTGCAGCATCAAATAAATTACCCGCTGTTTCAGTAACATTATTGTTTATAATGACACGTTGGGATATTTCTTCAAGAAATTTCTTATATTCGCTAGTCGATTGAGGCGCAATTGCCGAAGTAGTAGAAACTGCTATTCTGCTAAGAGCGTCAGCATTTGTGTTCTGAACTCCTGGTTTATAAATTACTGAATAGTCGTATTCTTCTAGCAGAAGTCGCCACCTAGTAAGACGAGCACCTGGATCTTTAACTCCAAACATCCACGATGGAGGTTTGTGGTCCGTTATGATGTTAAATTTTCGAAAGTAGATGTAAGGACGAAATTGTTTAACCGACCAAATTATTGCCAACAGCTCCTTTTCAGTAGTATTATAATTTATTTTAGCTTTATTTGATGTGCGCAATGCATAGGAAATTGGCAAGTCTGACCCAACGTTTCCTTGCGATAATATTCCTCTTATTGCACAATTACTGGCATCTGTTGTAATATTGAAAGGTCGAGAAAAGTCAGGAAATTGAAGTATTGGTTCCTTGGTCAATATGGTTCTGAATGTTTGAAATGCGTCTTCACAAGCATCCGTCCATATAAATTGTTGATCCTTCTTTAGTAAAGATGTCATGGTTTTGATATTTTACTGAAATCTTTGATAAATTTTCGATAATAACCTTTTTTTTTGCACCGAGGACCAGGAGGGAACTACGTTAGTAATACTTCCTCCAGGCCCCCATCGTTTATTAATAAACCATACATAATTAAATAATGACATCGCTTGCAGGGACAATCCCCCTGCTTACGATGTCTACAATATACCATACAACATAATGGAGGGCTCTACCCTTCCTGCTTTGGCCGGTTGGCCTACAATACGTTAATCTTAAGCTAAGTCGACTGTTGGATCATACTCCGCCTCGCTGCACCCTGCGTTCCTCTCGTTCTCGGCACATCATGATTCTCGTGAAGAGGGAGTTGACTCTCTCCCATGAGTTTGTCGAGCTCAGCATGATGGCTGTTGTATTCTCCGGCGTTATGTTGTCCACTTCCAAGTAGACGCAGGCTTCCGTCCGCCATTTGTGCCAGGCGTCGCACTGGAACACGGCATGTTCTGGAGTGTCTGGCGTTGTACCACATTGCGCACACGCGTCTGTCGCCTGGTTACAATATTTGTGTAGATACGTACCGAAACACCCGTGGCCCGTCAGCACCTGGGCTAGGTGGTATGACACCTCGCCGTGTACCATTTGAATACGTCGCCGATGATACGATTGGTCCACCTGCCTTTCCCTGAAGTGCTCCATTGCTGCTGCCATTGGGTCAACAGATCTCCCCTGGCAACCTCCTTATTGGTCCCCAGAAAGATGCTCCTCCTTTCTTCTGCCAGCAGCTTCAGGGGGGGCATGCTGGAAACCACAGCGGCTGCGTCATATGACGTCGATCTGTTGCAGCAAGCGACCCTCAGCATCGTCCTTCTGTAAGCCGACTCCATGGTGGTCATTGCCTTGACTGACATTTTGTCGGCCCAGATAGGTGCTCTGTAGAGCAGCCTTGATGTCACCACCGTTGACAGCACGCGTCTGGTCTTCTGCTTGGCACCTCTGGAGTGCCTTGCCGAGTCTCTCCTCAAGTATGCAGGGCACCTGAGCCGTACATACGATGGCCATGTCGTCCGCGACTGCAATAAACTCCGTGTCGACGGGTAGTTCGATGCTCAGCAGTCCGTCATACATTAGATTCCACAGGTCTGGTCCCAGCACCGAGCCCTGTGGAACTCCGCAGCTCATCTCAATGACGCTTGGCGCGCCGTCCGACCTTTCTACTATTATGCGCCTGTCCAATAGGTACTGACCGAGAACGTTCTGCAGGTACTTCGGGGTGTCAGTTCTTTCCAAAGCCTTGATGATGGCAGTCTAGGAAGCGCTATTGAACGCATTTTGGAAGTCCAATGTCAGCATGCCAACGTATCGATTGTACGCACTGGTACGACCGTTTGCGTTCCGTATTGCGGTTTGTAGCTTCGCCATAGCATCCAGTGTCGATTTACTCTCCTTGAAACCGTACTGGTTTTCTGGTTGGTTCCCCGTTCTCCGTAGGTGGTCGCGAAGTCGCTGCGTTAACAGCTTCTCGAATAACTTGCCCATCGTATCCAGCATGCATAGGGGTCTGTATGCAGACGGGTTGTCGAGTGGTCTACCTGGCTTGTGTAGCAGCACAAGTCTTGCCGTTTTCCACTCCGGCGGGAAGCAGGCACTTCTTAGGCATCCGTTGAAGACCTCCTTGAAGTACCACGGATGCGCTCCCACTGCCGTCTTGAGTACTTCGTTAGGTACGCCGTCCGGTCCGGGTGCCTTCCCATTCGGTAGGCCCCGTGCTGCTGCTTTTACTTCGGCCTCTGTGAACAGTCCGCGTTGGAGCTCCTCTTCGCTGACCGTCGCAATCGTTCTCCCGGTTGCGGGCCTGCGCGGGCTCGATAATAACCTATTAATCCAAGAAATGATTTTAGCTCTTAAGCATTTGTTGGAGTGTGATAATTAGCTACACACGATATTTTTTTTGGATCTGGTTTTATGCCTTCATCAGTTATCAAGTGACCAAGATAACTTACTTCTTTACTTAAGAATTGACATTTCAGTGGTTGAAGTTGCAAATGATATTTACGAAATCTTTTAAATACATCTCGTAAGTTATTTTCGTGATCTTTAATAGATGTTCCAATAACGATTACATCATCCAGGTAAACAAAAGATTTCACACCGTTGAAACCAATAAGTACCTGATTCATAAGTCTTTGAAAAGTTGCCGGAGCTCCTTTTAGTCCAAAACACATCCTATTGAACTCAAAATGGCCCTTTTCGGTGCTAAACCCGGTTTTTTGTCTGTCTTCCGGTCGCATTGGAATTTGATGGTAACCACTCGCCATGTCCAAGCAAGAGAAATATTTTGCATTTCCCAATTGATCCAAGATCGTATTGACATCTGGCATTGGGAAAGCATCTCCCACAGTAAGGTTGTTTAATTTACGGAAATCAACTACAACTCTGTATTTTTGTCCACCTGAGTCATCGATCTTCTTTGGCACTACTAGCAATGGAGCATTCCATGGGCTATCACTGGGCCCAATTATTCCATCTTTCTCCAATTTTTCAATTTGGTTATCTATTTCCTCTTTCTGTGAATATGGAAGTCTATAAGGTCGTTGATAGATGGGTTGTGTTGTTCCTGGTGTTCTTATTTCATGATATACAGCGTCTGTACATGTACTTTTATCTCTTTCGAGGAAAAATATATCAGAAAATTCACTGCATAATTCTTCAATGGATACTTTTTCTTTAAGATTCATATGATCTGTTTTGAGAAAGTTCTTTAGAAGTTGAATCCGATTTTGTTCATTTTTTGTTACCTTATTAGTATGTATAAAATGTTTTATTGATTCTTCATTTATTATTTCGTGTGATAACTCTGTTAGTTTTGGTGTAGGTACCACAATCTGAGTTTCTGTTGGGTTAATTATACTTATGAGAATCTGATGATTTTTTACTTGATTTAATATATTTCCACATATTATTTCATTATTTATATTTTGAGCGTAAACTAGTATGCTCTGATGTTCTTGAATTTGTAGATCTGACACATCTACTGGAATAATTGTTTCACATCTAGCTGGAACAGTTGTGACGTCATCTAATTTTGAAGTAATTTCCCCTTTTCCTACGTCAATGACAATTTGATTCTCCGTTAAAAATGGTTTTCCCAAAATACCATCGCCCATAATTGGAAAATTTGTCGGAACTACATGAAATTCACTTTCGGAAGATTGATTTCCATTTATGACTGTCAACATTACAAATCCCATGATCTTAACTGTTTGATCATTTATCCCCTGTAACATGAATATTTTTGTGTCTGATACTTGAACATCATCGTGAAGAGCACCTAGTTTTATTAAATTAAGATCAGCCCCTGTGTCTACAAGTAGCTTAACGATATATTTTGTACATTGTGGAATTTTATATAAAGCATGATTATCAATTAATTTGATTCTGAATGACAAGGTTCTTGCAGGTTTAAGGCTATTGTTTTTAATGTTTTGACCGATTGGTTGCCCGAGCCACTCGGTCTTGGCCCGTTTCCCGAAAACTGTCCATTGGACTTATTTGTTTTTTTCTTTTTGTAACATACATCTTCGGATTGTCCCGGTTTATTACAATAAGCACATGTTATCTTTTTCACATCTTTATTATTTGGATTTGAATGTACTTTTGATTGAACATTTTGTTGGCCAGTATCTTGACCGCGATTTCCATATCTACATTGATTTGTAAAATGATTATTACGATTGCAAATTTCGCAATACTTTTGATTGTTATTTCTACCTTGGTTTCCTCCTTTAAGTATTAGTTGTGTCTCTTTTGATGATTGATAAATTGTCTGCTCTTCAAGACTTGCCTTCATTGCATCTTCCAGTGTTTCAAAGTTTCTTGATTTAATCACTGTTCTTAAATGAGGTAATAATCCTTCTACGTACGTCGTTAAAGTAATTTATTTTATATATGTACGTATTGCTGTGGCATCTGTGGTTGATTTTCCCTTTGTGCTCACATTACATAATTCATTGAGTAGATTTTCAACCTTTGTAGAGTAGTCATGAACTGACTCTCCTTGAGACTGTCTTGTTGATGTAAGTTCAAGTTGTAGATATCCTGGTGTACGTTTAGCACAAAATTTTGATTCGAGTAAATGTTTAAGTCCTGCCCAATCTTCTACATCCCGATGTTGAGTTATCGCAAAAGATTTTTTACTTAATTTTGTACGAATAGCTTGTAACAAAACTGGCTTTATGTTGTTATCGACATTAGACATTACGAAATCACATGCGCTAAGATAAGGATAGATATCAGATGAATATTCACCATTGAAAAAATTAACCAATTTAATGGCTGTTTCTAATGAAAGAACTGTATTGTTCATTTTGGAAATAGTACACGTATTATCCACCCCCAAGCATTTTAAACCGAGTAGTTCGGTATTTTTATTTATTTGTTTTGGTGTGTTTTCTTCACCTATTTGATCCGAAGGTACTGAAGTTGATATATTTCCCCTAGTATCAGAGAATAATGATTCTACACTTCTAGATTTCCTATGGTATCTTTTATTTTGGTGTGCTAGTGACCTAGTATTTGGGCCAGTATATTTTAAATTATCTTCAAAGTTATTTGATATAGGAGTATTATAACCTTTATTTACTGTAGATGTATCTGGGCTCCTATCACTGCTACTATTACCATTACTTGATTGAGTAGACATACATTAAAAGTGTTAGTTTGTTATTATATATTATTATTATATTATTTTTATATATTATATTATAAAAATATTTATTTTTTATTTTTTTTTTTTACTTACAGTATGACGGTCTTTGTTATTACTCCGAACTGCATAATAATTGACTTCTTTGACAGACTATCTGGACCCCTTGTTGAACTCGCCACGTCTCTCGGTGTCGTTCCCACGTAGTCTTCAAGTTATTTCGTTTGAAGTTCTACGCTCCGAAACCGGTATGCGCGGAGACCACACTGGTGGGTTTTGTTTAACTTGAACGATTAATTAATTTCTGTTTACTAATTAATCGATGTAGATTAGATATAGTGTAGCTTATCGTACAAATGTTCGTATTGGTATTGACAATAGGCGTTGATTGTGTATTTCTAATTACCGATAAAATATGGTGATCCCGTTTTTTACGTAGTTGGTATAAAACAAGTAGCACCTCCTACGGTGTATTTGTAGATGCGTGTGACGTAAATTTCGGGGACTATAGAATAGTTTCCTCACCAATATTTAGGTAAAAGCGATTCTGTATGAATATATTCACTCGTGTTCACTTTTTTTTTTATTTATAATAATTATTTGAATATATCACTCTCTAGACAGAATTTCTTTCAAAGAAAAGAAAATGAAAACGGCTACCTCTGCCACCAATGTTATGAATGCCCCTGCGTTTGCCTGTGATGTTCTGTTATATTTTATATTGTGTCTCTGGTTGTATCCGAAGACGACAATTTGTTGAAACTGTTCTCTGTGTAGAGGGTGATAATCAAATGTTGTTTAATAGTTTATTAATTAAAAGAATACACGTTTTAGATTTATATGAGAATATTATACTTTATTAGTTTTAAAAAATATGATTTATACTACAAGCTCACTACTTAGCTCGAATGAGTCGAGTTCAAGACTGAATTGCCGACAGGACCGATACTATAGTCTGGTCGCGGATAAGTAAAATATCTAAGATAAGACGCCTACATACAGGCGTTATTATATTCTGTAAAACAAGCGTCTCTATAGTCTCTATAGTGGTGGGCATATAACATAGTCTATGATTTTAGCGTCTTTAATTTTGGTAATAAATATTTTTATTGTAACTTGAAAAGCTAATGAGTTATAAGCAAAAACAACACGCCAGCCTTTGAAGAGGGGTGGAGGGCTACGCACAAGGGGTATTTGTCAGGACTTTTAGTATGTTTATAAGTGAGGTAAAAACTAAAAAAAAATTTAAATCCAGCTTTCGTGGAATTAATTCCGATTTTTTTCGATTTTTAGTCTAATTTGACTGGGCTAGTAGACGAATAGCTAAAAGATCTATCAGTACTTGCCTTGCTGCTGGATGAAGAAGAGGAAAAGAAAAACAAACAAAAAAAGGATTTCGGTTCATGATTCATAGAAAAAAAGAAAAATTGAAGGCGAATTTGCTACTTTGTGTGGTGAGTTGGGAGATCACGAAACAAAATTTTTTGAATACTTTCGAATGTCACAGTAATGTTTTAATTTATTATTAAGTAAAATTAAATATAATATAAAAAAACATGATACTTTTTGGTGGCAGAAAATGTGTGGGATATGGTGTCATAAAAGTTGTTTTTTTCTTTTCTTCATCTACAGTCATTTGCATTTCATTTTCACGAACTATGGAAACAATTTTTGATTTCACTATAATATTTAAATAGTATATCGTAAATGATTTGAATGTGGGTGAAAGGCCTGCTAAAAAAAGCATCATCAACAGAATGGGTTTGTATAGTATTAGCTACATCATTTTCCCTTTTTTGCATTAAAGTACTTGAATCCAATTCCGTAGTTTTGGTTTTACGTTTTTTTTATAAATTTACTAGTTGCATTCTGGAGTTTTCGGTAATTGATCTTCAACATCTGTATTGCCACTAATACTAATCTCAATATTTTGAGCTGTGCTAACATTTTCAACATCGTAATCACTGTCATTGTTAGAATTATCTAAATTATCGTTATTTACATCTTTTAAATTTATATAAAGTATCCCTCTCTTGTAAATGAGGCTTTAAAAACTGAAGATGATCATCATATTTGTATTTTTTAATTCTTTTAAACTTGTTGTTTTTTTAATAGATTTTATATAGTTATCTCTAATGCTATTCCAGCGAGTTTGCATATTTTTCCTAAAAAAAGACTTATCATCAATTAATATAAAAGTAATTATCGATAGTTGATATTTTTAATATGCAGTATTATAGAATAATTTCTATAAAAAATGTTATTTTTTACCTAATTTTTTTTTAGATTCTGAGTGGAACGATGAATGTATTGTTTTTACAATGATGTACCTAAGTTTTTATATTTTTTATTATTTTTATTTTTGTGTCTGTGTACAAGATAAGTAGTCGAAACAATGCTTCGATTTTCAACTTCAGTATCTTGTTCGATGGGAAAGTGAATAAAAAACCAGATCACCAGTCGTAAAACCATGTTGAAACGACTGAAAGATCCGGTGAATAAAACAAAACGCAAGATCAAATGTCGTCGGAACATGGACAACCGACTGCAAGAACCAAAGAATAAAATAAAAAACCAGATCACCATCATAATTTTAGAGGTTTGTAGTATTGTAATAGGAAAATACATTTTTTTTAAATTTTTTAAAATTGTTTTTTTATGTTGCTGTTGTTAAGGTGTTGATACGCCAATACTAGGTACGCCTTATGGCTTTTAACCATTTTGAATACCGATTTTTTCGTTCTTCTGCTGTTGTTGTTGATTTTAATATGTTAAGTGACGACTGATGACTTTCTAGTGAAAAATTTACAACTCTTGCAGCTGCTTTAGCTGAACCATAGACAGCCATGTTGTTAGTTATTTGTGAGCTCATTACGTCTACTCCCAAAATATCAGCTTGATAACTGTTACGGAACAAACCATACAAAAGGGTTTTCTTTCAAATGACAGGTTAAAACTGAACGGTTTGACAGATGAAAACCGCACCAAGTAAATGCAAACGGCAATACGATGGTGTGGTGTTCATCTGTCATAACCAAATGCGCGGGCCAATCAGCGACTGACTAAGTTATCAAAAAGGGTATATATACCGGACGATTTCGATAACTTAGTCAGTCCACTTCAATCCTTCAAACTATCAACATCTCCAAGAAACGTTCCGATAGCAAGAAGACCAGGACCAGAAATCGACCGCCGAAGACCGACGACAACGCCGCTCCACGGCTACCAGCGCCATTCGACCGCAGACCACCGCCGTTCCCGATTGCGTATATCATCATACCGACGCACATCGACAACGACGCCGCTCCACGGCTACCAGCGCCATTTGACCGCAGACCCCCGACGTTCCCGCCGTTCCCGATTGCGTATATCATCATACCGACGCATATCGACAACGACGCCGCTCCACGGCTGTAAACGTCATTCAACTGCCGAACAATAACGACCCGTCGACCACCTATCTACGGGCGCAAAGATCGGTCGATCAACAACGCCATCATCGTCAGAACCAACCGACCCCGTGACTGCCGCTCAACGGGGAGAGACCAGTGTCAGTGTACTCTTGCCGTGACGAGGCCGCCCGACCGCCACTCAACCTCCCAAGCCTACGGGAGCACCGGATAGGCCGACCACTCACGGCGTGACAACATTAAATGGCCCTTTTCAGGGCCACCACGACCCTAACCTCGGCACTTAATTAAGTTGTCCGACCCAAGTCTGGTTCGTCGTCGGGGTGCCGCTTGACTTAAGTCTGCACCGACGACGGCCGGCTTCCTAGCCGATCATATTGTATAACTTATATAAATCATTATAAAAACACTTGTGAAGATAGGGTCCGACAATTGTCCGACCACAATACCCAAGCGCCTCCGATTGTGCCGACTCACTTATTTAAGTCCGGTCGGCACAAATCGACGCTTTACTTGTCCCAATATTGTAAATATAAATTATAATTTAACCTAGCAATAGAAAAACTTGATTATCGAGCACACAATTGTTATTTTATTTACGACACGGGTCGTCCAACCGGACGCACCGTTTCATAACTTAATATATTATTGTAAATAGAATAAAGACCATTTACAAACAACTGTGACGGAACTATATTTGTATCCTTTTTAAATGCAACACATACATCTTTGGTATGAAAGCAAAATGCTTCTAATGCAGCTCGAATTATATGTTTTTTGTTAGTACGATGAGTGATACCACATATAATACCTCTGGCATCTGGTTTCCAATGTGGTGCTGCTAATCCATTAAAAGCCGGTACAAAATATACACCACTTGCATCTATGTTTAATGATTCTATTTCAGCGTCACTGTTTACAATTTTCATATTTTTCTTTAGCCATTCTATAACTTTACCGCCGACTGATGTCCAACCTTCAAAAGCATAAACTGCTGGTTCTTTATCGATTTTGTATGCTACTGTTGTAGTTAATCCATTATTAGACCTTTTAAATTCTGTTCCTATTATACATGACACTGTACAACTATCACCGTAATTACTCATTATTTGACCAGGTTTATCGAAATGTAACCCATACAAAGCAGCTTGATGAATACCAAATATTGATCCAATTGATATACCTTTTAAAGGTGTTTGTTCTATGGTTCCATAGTGTTCAGAAGAACTCTTAATTGTCGGTAGTAAAGCAATTGGAACATTAAAAAATCGACAGGCATCTGGAGACCACTCCAAAGTTTTTAAATTCATTAATAATGTCCGAGAAGCGTTGGTCATATCCGTCACGTATAAATTACCTTTAGTAAGCTTCCAAACTATCCAAGTATCTAATGTTCCAAATTTTATATTCTTCATAGTATGAGGTCCTTGTATAATATGTGTATTATTAATTATCCATTTTAATTTAATTCCACTAAACATTGATGTTACTTTTGAACCAGTTGCGTCTTCTATATCATCAAGTTCTTTTGGACAATTTGATATACAGTCTTGAATTATGGTGTCTGTACGAGTATCAGTGTAATGA